ATGCAGAAGCTTGGAATGACAGATCCTGGTTCAGTGGGGAGTTCAGCCCCAGTGTCCCTGCTGGACTGGTATGATTTCCAACAGGAGCTGATTCTTGTGCTTGAGAGGCCAATGCCCGCTGAAGACCTCTCAAACTACATAGTAAAAAATGGTTCCCTCGAGGAAGAGGAGGCAAAAGTAAGTAGATGCATAATGTTTGCAGTCTTTGTGAATTTCTTGGTTTGATGTGTGTCCCCCTGGATTCAGTGAATGTGGGGTATGTGTGCCCCCCCACACCCTGGATTCATTGAATCCTGTGTGACACACAAGTGTTAAGACCCAATAAGCTATAAAATGTCCTAGCACGCTCTATTCTAGATATCTAACATGTATGTTATGAACTCTTTTAGGTTATCCTTAAACAACTGGTTGATGCAGCAATACACCTTAAAGAGAAAAGCATCTTCCACAGAGACATCAAAGTAGAAAATATCCTGATCGAGACCAGCACAGACGTCCCACGAGTTCGACTCATAGACTTTGGATTGAGTTGCTTTGTCAAGACAAAATCCAGATATAGAGTCTTTTATGGTATGGCATGACTCCAGATTCCACCCCTCTCTAAGTTTGCATGCATGACATTTAATCCATGTCCCTCTTCCTCTGATAACCTTTGTTTCTGTCTTCATCCTGAAGGTACCAGTGCTCACGTCCCTCCTGAATGGCTGAACTCTCATTCATACACTGCTGGACCTACAACAGTGTGGCAGATGGGAGTGGTCCTCTTTGAAACCCTCCACAAGAAAGAATTTACATCCACCAGATTTGTTAGTAAGAGGCTCAGGATAAGCAAAAGGCTGTCTCAAGGTAAAACAACGGCATATAAACATCTGTTTGTTAAAAAAAACAAAATAATAATTTGCCATTTACATTCGTATCAACCGCTGAAGACTTAACAATTAGTGTTCTTTTCTTTGATGTCTTCCAGACTGCCAGGACTTCTTGGAGCAGTGTTTAACTCACCATCCTGAGCAGCGTCCCACACTGGAGCAGCTTCAACGTCACCCGTGGTTCTCTTGAAACAGACACAGCATTTGAGCATTTAACATCTGATTATAATTATGAAATAGTATAGAATCATATCAAATAGAACAGAACAGAACCAAATGAAATCAGAATCAGCTTAAATGGAAAAGAACAGAATAGTGTCAAAACAGACAAAAACTCAGTTAGATATAAGACAAACCACTAAATAAATGCTGTGTAAAAGGGGAAGGAAGACAACACAACCTATGTTGTACAAATTTGGGGCTTAAACATTTTGAGGAAAATGTCCTACCTAGTTTTCTTAGAGAGGTTTCCATCCTCCTGTTCCATCCTCCTGTTTTTCATCCGTCTAACTCTCCAGACCTAAGCTTTTACTTTTTAATTCCTTCTATGACTAAATCCTCCCAAGGAACAGTCAGCTCTATAACTCAATCCTACTCCTAAACTAAAAGACAATATCAGGCCTTTCTAGAGGCCTTTTGTTCTCTACACCTTCACAGTTCAACCACTGTCCGTGCTTAGCCTTTGTGGCCCTAAACATTTCCTCCTGTCTCCAAACCTGCTCCAAAACTGGCTTTACTTTACACCAGTTTGCCCGGGTCAAGGCCCTTCTGGAAAACATTCAGTCTTTTCCTCTCGAGCTCTTATCCATTGCTTTGTCTTCTTTCCACAACTAATTGATCAAGTTCTCTTATATTATACACAAGAAAATTGTTTTCTGAAAAGTAATACTTTTTGGGAAAAATACAGTACTCTTTAAATTAACCTCATGAATCACAAATGGATTTTTATGGTGACTTTAAGATGACCAGCAATGACTTTAAGATGACCACCAATTTAAAAAAGAACCCTGCGTTACAACAGAGCTCTGGAAAAAGTAAAATGACACCTGAAGACAGCATGGTCACAGGATTTACACCATGTAGTTTAAGTCACTGTGAGCTTTATTTGTTTTAAGAGGCCTCTTATCACTCTCCCTGGTGGCTAAAATTACTTTCTGTGAGCCTTTGGAGCTCTACAATTCAGTTCAGGTCAGTGCCGAGGCTGGCAGAGATCAACTACCTCTGTTTGATTGGTGAGATTCATTTCAACTATTTCCTTTAGGCTGGTTATCCTTGGAGCTTTGTCTCTAGTTGGATATCCCAGTTAGATATTCTTGATTTGTGCCTCTTAAAATTAAATTAGCTTGTCTTGTATAGATGCAAGCAAAACCCAAGACAACATAAAACAGTCAAAACGGAATGAACATTGTTGTATCATGACTCAGCCAAAGGTTGATAAGTACACAGAGGTTTTTAGTATAAAAAGTATAAAAAGATAAATACAGGAAACCCTCCATAGTACCAGCAATACTAATATCACGCCATTCACTCCTTAATTTCAGACTGGAATGAGGCTGCTCGTAATGCGACAGGATGATTTATTTTAGACTTGAATACAGTTTGCATATTGTTTTTATTTCAAGATCAAATGTGCACGGACCAGGATCTCTGTACCAGTTTTTTGCACCAGCTGTCGAAAGTTAAAATGACATAATTTGAGCTGTCTTTAAAATAAATTAATATATCAATCTGACACATTTTAATCTTTCCAGCGAAATGTAGTTTTATTAACAAAAAGTTGTCTATGAACCTGCTCCAAAACTGTCTTTCTCTTGTCTTTGAGACCTGCTCTACTTTGGTTTGCCTGGGTCAACATTCATTCTCTCCCTCTCAAGCTCTTATCCATTGCCTTCTTGTCTTCTTTCCTCAACTAATTCCTCAATCGCTCTTATATACCAATTAAGTTAGGATATTTTGCACTGTGCGAATAAATATAGGATACAGTGGTTCAAAATAACTTTTAAAGTGATATTCAGCTGAGTGCAATAACAAACAGAATATTTAATGTTCAAATTGAGAAAGTTTATTATATTTAGTTCATATTTGTCTTCGACAACTTAATACTCTTGGGAGAGAAATACAGCATTTTTTTTAATTCAACCTCTTGAACCAGAAATGGATTATGGTGACTTTAAGATGACATCATCACAAGCCACCAATTAAAAACAGTATCCTCGTTTCTTAGCAACAGAGCTCTGCGAAACAAAAAATGCCCACTGAAGACAGCATGCTGGCAGGATTCTATGCTTAGACTGCGATACACATGATAGTTCAAGTCACTGTGAGTTTTATTTGTTTTTATAGGCCTCTTATCCCCCTTCCTGATGGCTACAATTACTCTGTGTGAGCCTTTGGAGCTCTACAATCTCCTCAACCAGTTCAGGTCAGTGCCGAGGCTGGCAGAGATCAACTACCTCTGTTTGATTGGTGAGATTCAGTTAAACTATTTCCTTTAGGCTGTTTATCCTTGGAGCTTTGTCTCTAGTTCGATATCCCAGTTAGATATTCTTGATTTGTGCCTTTTAAAATTAAATTTGCTTACATGTGTTTCGTCTAGATGCACGGGAAACCCAAGATTACCGCACAAGTCATATCATAACAGCTAAAACTGTCAAAACGGTATGAACATCGTTGCATCATCAACCAAAGACTGATAAGTACACAGAGGCTTTAATATTGTAAAGATTTACAGGAAATAAAGAAAAACTATCAGAAAATGCAGAAGTATTCCAAACGGCACAGAATATGGGCTGAAAATCAATGGCCACATGCCTTAAGAGGGGGTGAATGTGTCAAGAATGCTTTTGACTGCATCCCAACTTTGTGGGGGTCTCTTTCCAGGATTCCGATGGAAAGTTCCACCTTCCAGAAGTGGTGGAGGTGAACACTATGCAGTATGTGGTGGTATATGACAGCAAGACAAGTAGTTTAGATGAACCAGGTACTCAGTCCAGGTCTCCTACTGACAAAAAATATCTCTATTTTATTTATTTGTTTATTTTTGTTTTGGCAGCCTGGCTACAGGAAGTCAACCAATATGTTATTGAATTTTTTTTTTCTCAGGAAGAGCAGTTGACTGCGCCAATGTCCTGGCCAAGGCCAGTCTCAGCCCAGTCCACGTAGTAAAGGGAGGCTTCCAGAGGTTCTCGGCTCTGTACCCCTTCTTAAGGACTGCGAAGATTCTTTATACCATCACGGTAAATTAAATCAAACACAAGCACCTCATTCATACGCTTCCTATTGAGGTTCTGAATGGTCAAACTCCTTGCAAGTGTGTTTTGTCTATTCTATTCTATTTCATGTTTGCTTCCAAACATTATTTTGTGTCATAGTGTAAGTTGTGAGTTCAATATCATGTCTGGAATATCCAAAATGACAAAGATTTTTTTATTATTATTTAAGAATCGTAGTAGGAAGGCGTCATTTCCCCTCAGGCCAACATGGAAATACTGATACATGCTTTATCACCTGCAGAATAGACTATTGTAACACTCATTCGCTGGTCCTCCTAAAAAGACTTTAAAGTCACTACAGCTTCTACAAAACTCAGCTGCTTGTCAGCTAATGATCAGAAAGAAAGCTGGTATTACTACTATTAATACACAATGTTACTATCATAACATCCACTGGCTTCCTGTTTTTCCAGATTTATTTCAACATTCTTTTATTGATTTATTTTCAAAGCTCCTAAAAGTTTTAGTCCAAAATATTTATTCAATGTACAAATGGTCTATGAGCCTCTGGAGTCTCTTAGGTCATCAGGGGCTGCCCCCTTACACAAATTAAGAGGCAACTTTTAGTTCTCATGTTGTGGAACAGCCTCCCCGAGGACCTGGGGGCAGTTGAGGATTTCGATATTGTCTGAGTAAAACCTACCTCCCTCTTTCTTATATATTTTGATTTTAATAAATCCTTGGTTTATAGAATCACTGATTGATTAAAAATCTTTTCTTTTTCATTTTGTTGTTTGAAAGCACAGATTGAAGATAGAGCAAGTTCCTGTAGTTGTATTGGAATGCGAAGTGAACACATTTTGACACCTGAAAGGACAAAACAATAATTCGTAATGAGGACTTCTGTGCATTTTTAGGGTTAAAAAATGCCAGATGATACAAAATTTAGGAAAACTCCATTCTAGTGTTGTGGTTCTAATCCCTCTTACCCCACAGTTAACTGCTCCTAAAATGAAAATGTCATGTGCTTCTGGACTGCTGCAGGATCTTGAAAACCTGAAGATCTATCCAGTGGAAACAATAACGGGATTGCTGTATATGGGGGACCAGAAGCAAAGTATGGACACAAGTATCCTGAAAGACTTGAAAATCAGCGCCGTCGTCACCATCTCACACCTTCCACAGACTGACTCCCTGGAGTAAGGCTGGATGCTGGAAACAAAAAAGAACATTCAGACTCTTGTGCTGCATCAGTGTGATTAGAAATTGTATCTCTTATTTTTTTAATCAAAACTTTTAGATCCATGGGGATCAACCACCTCAACATAGCTTTGTCGGACTCCCTGGAGTCTGACTTATACTCAAGTTTTCAAAAGATTTGCAGTTTTATTGGTGAGTCTTTGCAATTATTTGTATGGCAAATATTTGATTTAATATTCCATGAAATGCAGTGATCATGCGGTATTGCAGACATTGATGTTTCAAGGATGGCGTTTCCTTCCTTCTTAACTGTGTACTACTTATTTAAGGTAAAGAAGAACTTAATTGTAGGAGCCTCTTTATCTTCCCGTTTCCAGGTCTGCACGTCAGGGCCAGATCGCGTGTCCTGATCAGTTCCAGGCAGGGCAGAAGCCGCTGCAGTGCCGTGACCATTGCCTTCCTCATGCACAATTTCAAATACACTTTGGAGGTAAGAGAAAATGATTTGGTTTAGAATGTGATCCTCTCTAAAAAGACTGTCATAAAGCTGTTAAATAGGGCTAAAAGGTTTTGGTCTAATTCTACTATTCAAAATGGTTACAAAGGCCTGCTATATTTGCAGTTTATAACATTAGTCTAAAAGCACATTATGCATTTGTGTAACATTTAAATGCAGAAAGTCAAGGGTAAAAGGTTCTTACTATCATACAGGCATAGAAGTCTATGTATAGAAATGTATATTTTAATCATCTTTAATAACTCATCATGTAGAGATACAAGAATTATTTTAAAGGGGGAAAAAATGCAGTTCCACTGAGTTTCTGTCTCTTGACTTTTCCAGACATCCTGGAAATACATGCTGAAATGCAAACCCACCATGATGCCTAACAGGGGATTTATGCAGCAGCTATCAGACTGGGAGCTTCACATCTTGGGAAGGAAACGGACAGATCTCTCCAAGTGGAGTTACTAACAAAAGAAACAACAGTTTGGATGCTAAATCAAGTTCACCTGTTGAAACAAAGATGTTAATAAAACTGCAATCTGTCTCTATTTTTCCTGTCACATGACAACTTCACATGACAAAGAGCAGCAATTTGAAAATTACTTCATGCAATTTTCCAAAAAAATTATATATATTGCCATACTTATTTGTCCACCTTGGCACTGGTTAAGATTTTTCTTAATCTTGACCTATTGACCTCATAGTAGACACTACCAGACACTGTTTGAAATCTAAAATAATTAGTTTTGTACATTTTCAACCAATCATGTTTTTCTTGTGCAATTTAATTTGTGTAATTAAGTAATTGGAATCTTCAGCACCTCACTGAAAAATAAACATTTTAAATACATACCATTAATACACATTTCAAACATAAAGATTAACCCACCGTCCCTGTATGAGGAAATACTACTTGAACCATGACTGAATCTAGTTATTGAACTTATTAGGTCCGACTAATCAAATCTCGGAAAAAAACAAAAATGCACATAAAATAAGACATTGGGTTTCAGGAGTCTAAGCTTAGCAGCTGATACTGTTCCAATGAATTATCAATTAATAAATAATGGATTTGGGAAAGATAATTGCTTTTAAATTAATCATTTGCTAGACTTTTAAGATCTTTTTTGTTCATACAGATCCATCAATCTGACCCCAAAACTGTAGTTTTTCTTGCAGAAAGAAGTAAGTAATAGCTAATGAATACATTTAAAATAGGAAAATCCTTTGTTTGGTACTCAAGACATTCTCTGTTTGATGGATTCTCATTAAGTGATATATAAGTGGTCAAGAAATTTCGTTGGATATGAAGTTTTCCATACATGGTCAGCGGTACAGGCAATGCTGACATTGAAGGGTCCATAGACAAATATGTCTGTGGAGGGGTCCCCCTTCTGTAGAATTACGTAACAGCTAGCCTAAAAATACAGGCCACAGGCCAACGAGTAATTCGACCCCCTGAAAAATACCTTAAGGGAGACTTGAAATCCCCTTGTCGAAAGACAGTTGAGCAAGAATTTTGAACTTTGTCTTTAGTTGTGTATTTATAAACACGCCAGGTCCAGAGTTAAGTGTTAAACCCCGTGTTTGTGAAATGCGATTGATAAAAAAGGGGTCGATTCCTGTCAGGCTAAACAGAGGGAAAATATAACTCTATCGATCACTGGCCTGGTAGGTGATTGGTCAAACCGCTTGCCACGAACCACGCCCACCACACTAGAAGCAGCAGTGTTGGCACACCTTAACCGGAAACGATTGAATCCTAAATACAGTAAAATAGTGCTGCTCTCGGGGGCATTTTGAGACACCAACGCTTAGAAAGCATAGTCTTAACTACTTTATTTCGCTTGGGCTAAACGTTAATTGACAAACAGTCTTGGTACAACACAATATGGAGCTCCGCGGGTGACAGCTTACACGCTGAAAACACGCGTTACCTTTAGTGTGAAGGCGCTTACAGGAAATGGACGTCCGTGTTACTGGTCCCTTGATGATGGCGGCTGCGCAACTGTTGCACAGCGGACCTTGATTATTTCACAACTCCTGGAGGTTTCCAGATGTCAGGGTAAAAGATGTACGGCCAAACGGGTTTATCCGAGTGCTTGCGGGAATGGAAGGATTTAGAAAAAGACTACCAACAAATTCAGGTAAGTAACTCACGGTATGTAGTTATACCCAAGTGTCCCCGGCCTGAGGAAGCTAACGGGAGGAGTGGGTGGGGACGCGGGCGACGGTGGTACCCACCCTCAGCAGTTTAAGATAAATGTCTTCTGACAGCTAAGATGAATAGAAGGATAATAATGAAGGAAAATCAGACGGAGACATATCATTTGCCTCTCAGCGTTATCCACGTTAGCCGTAGAACTACCATTTTGGGTGTTCGTCCGCGGAGGCATTCGATAGTTTAAAGCCTAAATCTCGTATCTATCAACAAGCTTATTAAACATGTCAGCAGTGACAGAGGAAGCGCAAAGGGACCCAATTCTCTTTAAATTGAAGCGGTACATATCCATTTTTATCAAGTTTAAGGCTGAACACGGAGGTGTCCAAGGCGACAGCTCGTTTTAGGTTGCTCTAAGCTCATTAAAGGCTTCCATAATCCACTTCTCCCACAGCGGTCCAAATATTTAGGAGGAACTGCAGCTTTAGTCGTTGTTAAAAGTTACAAGAAGGCGATTTTTAAATTTATTCTTGGTCTGGGGAGTGTTTTGGAGGGATATGGGCTCAGTGATCCATCTTATCCCGTCAATTGTCGAAACATTTATTGGCCAATCATCAGAGAGGATTTCATCAGAGAAAGTTCTGGATCATTTCTTCACCCGTCAGATTCCCCATGTCACTGAGATAAATAGTTTAAAAAAACATATTTTTGCACTTTATGGATTTGTATTTGAACCTAAAAGTATATTATTCTAAATTAATATCTTCTGTAACAGCCTACCAATATATTCTTCTTCCTAAAGTCCCAGATTACAGTAGTGAAATTTCTGATTTGATTGATATGTTTATTGCGTTTTATTTTTATATTTTTTTATGTGTAATGTGAGTCCGTGGTCAACTTTTGCAGCTGGAATTTGATGGTCATATGATTAGATTTAAAGCTGCTGCAAGCCAGGAATGCCTATCTCAGCACAAGGCAGCCTGTTTTCAATAGTTTTCTTGTTAATTCCCCTCCCCGCCTTTTGTGGCTGGGTGATATCTTAACAGGAGACACGTTGAATTATGTACAGAAATAACTGAAACCCAGATAAAAAGATCCATTATAATACGATATAATGTGCTTCTTGGAAAATGGGCTTCCTGGGTGTCTCTATGTAGCACCCTCTTTGTGTTATCCCTGCCCTGCAGTCCAGCACAGTCCAGTTCCTCTGCATTCGCTCCTCTTAATACCGCTTTTACCTCCAGGACGCCCATCGTCTGTACAAGCAGAAGCTGGAGGAGGTGACAAAACTCCAGAACAGCTGTTCCACTGCAATCTCACGTCAGAGGAAGAAGCTGAGAGAGCTGGGTGTGTCGCTGGAAGGGTGAGTACTGACCATAAATGTGCTCAGTTTTACCCCTGTGCAGCACTAAGCCGGACCAATTAGTTTAGATCTGGACTGCAATCAGAAGGTGGAGGATGCTGAATGGGTGGCAGTAAAAGCTGCTCCAAGTCCTGTCATTAGTTTTTCCCAGTTTAGATTAGCATCTTGTAACTTTGCTTATTATAAGTGACTGACTCAAGAGGGCAGATTTATACCAGATGAGGTGAAAATTTCTATCTCCTGTCTAAATTTAGTAACTAGTTTTTCCTACATTCTTTTCCTACATAGTTTTGACAGTTTATTATGCTCCAGTCTCTTTGTCACAGGGAGGAATTTTGAGAAAGTGTCTCTCAGAGTGGCCATTAATACAAACACATCTTAGTGTGATGTGTTCATGGCTCGTTTTTCTTTCCAAATTCTTCCTACAGATTTTAATACAAGAGAGCTCTGAGTTTTAGTAATGATCAGCTTTATATAGTCATTTTAGTCTCTAAAGACCATGTAATGAGTGATTATCAACACATGTTCACGCAGGTAAACGTTGTTTTATCATCCTAGCAGGTGACAACAAGAGCAAATAGACATACACAAGTTCAGTTTAAACTTTTAGCTTGTATAGCCCAATCATCTAAGCACACAGAGTTTTAGCTACATACTAAAAGGCATCCACAACAGGGTAGTGTAAATCAACCCAGGAGCCCAATGAATCTAGGAATTATACAGGTCCCCTTCCGACCCATGACTCTCTGGGAGGCCAGTGAGTGATCATGTGATCATGCATTCCACTAAAAAGAAAGTTTTTTTTTGGTTTAGTATTCAAATGTGTAACAAATTGTGTGTAATTTATGTCTGATTAGATGCAAAGAAAACCAGCCGAATCCCAGGTTAAGCCAAGAAGACCAGGACTCCATTTCTGAAATTGAGGACTCCATCAGGGACAAAACCAGTGCCTTCTCTGAGATGGAAGCTTTCCTGCCTAAGAAAAATGGGTATAATTCTGTTCCATGAGGGGGCTTTGCAACATTTGACATCCCTGCGTGGTGAGTGACTGACGGCTCTTTCTGTCCAGGTTGTATCTCAGCCTTGTTTTAGGAAACGTCAATGTGACACTCCTCAACAAACAGGCAAAGTAAGTCACATGGGTGCTTCTGACTGCTCACAGTGGACCCACAAAAGCAAATCTCTCTATATTTTTTTTTGCTTTGTTTTTTTACAGGTTTGCCTACAAAGATGAATATGAGAAGTTCAAGCTGGTCCTCACCGTCATCCTCTTTATGTTCTCCTTCACGTGTCGCTTTTTGTTCAGCTACAGGTACCCTGTTTAGGTTTGTTGGTAAAATCGTTTGATGCTTCTGATCGATGGCCTAAATGCTATTTTGCTCACTGAGGTTATAAAACACACAACACTGCCCTTTTTTTGCTCATATCTCAGAGTCCTGGACGCGCTGTTTAACTTCCTGTTGGTGTGGTACTACTGCACACTCACCATCCGGGAGAGTATTCTCATCAGCAATGGCTCAAGGTCTGTGTTTCTTTGAGTTCCTTCTTGATTTCCATCATGAGCCCTATGTTATATAAGTCCCTGATACCTCTAAACATGTGGCCATGTGTGGATTCCTCGCTACATTCTTCTTTTTTAGTTGAACATCTGTGAAACGTCACCTTATGGTTGCCATCCATGCATCATTTGTATCCTCTGTGATTTTTCAGGATCAAAGGTTGGTGGGTTTTCCACCACTATGTGTCAACGTTCTTGTCTGGAGTCATGCTCACTTGGTGAGTCTTTGATTTGGGGGGGGGGGTGGACTTTTTCACAGTCTTCACAGTGGCAACATTCTGCTGACACTGATTGGTTGGCATTGATGCCTCGCTCTTTAGCGTGTTACATTCTAACCTAACTCCATTTGCAGGCCCGAAGGCACCCTCTACCAAATGTTTAGGAACCAGTTCTTATCCTACAACCTCTACCAAAGTAAGACAGTCCATCTGCTTTCCACTTTCACACTGGGATTATCAGACAGGGATGATTTTTTTAAATTCTAACATTAAGCAACACCTTCTCGCATTCTCCTCTGAAAGGATGCGAAAACTACGACACTGTGTCTTTTTGGGAATCAGATACAAACACTCAAATGACTCTTTATTGGCATATTTCAGTATTTAGTATTGAACAAGAATTAAGGTAAAAAGAGAAACATTTGTCTTCAGATCACCAGGTTAGATTTTCTCTTGTGTTTGCTTTTTGAGTTGAATGCACTTTGTTCAGTATAATAAGCGTCTCATTATTTAAACACTCCCGAACAGTTGGCAAAGTCTGCCTTTGATTGTAGTCAGTCATGGATTTTCTGGTTGTGTTTGTTCTCCCACTTTTTCTCTGTTTGCGAAGTAGGTTTCGTCCAGTTTCTCCAATACTACTACCAGAGTGGCTGTTTGTACAGACTCCGAGCGCTGGGAGAGAGACACAACATGGATCTAACAGTCGGTGAGCACAGGCCGCTGCCTCTCCCCTTACATGTGTGGAGCAGAGTGCTAAGGGGTCAAATGATCATGCAGTATATGAGAAAATGACTAACCAGTGGCTGATTAAAAAACAAAAAACAAGAAAAAAAACAGAAATTTTGCCTGATGTCGCATTGTTGGTCAAATCAAAGGACGTCCATGTAGGGACTCATTTTTTTTTACTTTTTTATCAAGGTTTTTTTTTCTTAGAGTTTGCATATAATGAAGAGTACCCCAGCAGAGTTAAACAAACAAAACAGCAAAAAACGTACAAACAAACATAATAACACCAAGGGAACAAAGACTAGCTCCCTCAGCAACTCCCCACCCAGTACCAGACAGAGAACATACAGACATTACACATTATACCCTCAGACCATCACAAAAGCAAATGAACAAGATAAATAAAATGACAAATAAACATAATTACATAGCAATACTGCAATATTATGCATATCATCAACAAAGATCAAAACAGGTTTCCAGATTCTGTAACATTTCTGAGTTGCTCCCCTGACAGTAAATGTAATCTTATCTCATTTAAGATGGCACCTCACTTCTCGGATCGAGTGACTGTACATTGGTGGGATAAGATCTTTTCATTTAAACAGTGTTAATCTCCTGGCCAGGGAAGTGCAGAAGGGCTTTGATTTCTAAAAGTAGTGTGGAGCTGAAGCCAAACTACCTCCCGACTCCTCTTAGACATTCAGGTGAACCACATATCGGACTTCAGTCATCGTCTTCATCATAATCATTCAGTGCAGCAGAGCTAAAACTTTACATAAGAATCTTTTAAATAAATAAGAAAAGCACCCTGTAGGACCTTTAAGAGTGCCATAATTCTGTGGGATTTTACATAGGTCTGGGATATGGAAGCCGTTTCCCTACACTGGGTACGCAGCGCAAACGTGTGGCAACAAGTTTCCACTGACTTCTTTCAGTCAGGTCCAGGTGCATAACAGAAAATCTATTTTTTACGACTCTCCGCCTCACTCACCATCACATTCGGTTTCTTTGCTCTTTTCATCGCGGTTGCTATTGGTAACCATGAAATAAGAGCAATCAGCTGGCTCATTTAAACACACATTGGCATTCATGATGTGTTGTGCATTGAGCATTTGTGGCTGAATGAGGGCTGCACCTGGAATTTAGATGGTTTAATAAATCTGGATGTTCTTTTTTTCCCCTTTTTTTCTGGTGAATGCCATTTTCAGGTTTTAGGCGTAGGGATGCTTTTAAAAAAAATAGATCCTAAGCAATCTTTTCCGAATGAGAGCCCTGTTGTCAGCTAAACTGGCACCATCAAAACATACTGAACAGTAAGAGCTGACCGATAAATCAGTCCCCTTTTAAGTTGATGTTTTGCTTCGGAAGGCCACTGGATCCTGGGTTGGTTTCACATTCTGATGACTCATCACTGATTGGCGTGATAAGAATAGAGCCGACAAAGATGGTGATCCTGGTGAAGTGGTTGCCAGCACTCAGTTCTTCACCCTTTTTTTCCTCACCCCCTTTTGTCCTGAGGTCGTAGGATCTCTTCTTCTCTCGTTTTAAAAACAGAATGTGATGACTTAAACAATCGTGAATCCGACACACATTTCCAGACTCAGTCCAATGACACGCAGTCTTGCTTTTGTGACTCGATGCTAGCCTTTAGCGTGGCTGTAAAATGTGAGATGAAGACAGCAGACGTTAAATCGCTGACCCCTCCTCTCCCCCTGTGTTGTGTAGAGGGTTTCCAGTCCTGGATGTGGAGAGGCCTCACCTTCCTCCTACCTTTCCTGTTCTTTGGACATGTGAGTAGCGTCCGCGTCCAATCCAGGTCTTTGTGGAGCGAAACAGCAATGGAGAATTGGACTTCAAAAGCGGCCATTCTGTAATCTGGACGTCTGCTTCGTTGCAGTTCTGGCAGCTCTACAACAGCATAACACTCTTCAGGATGTTCCAGCTCCCAGAGTGTAAGGAGTGGCAGGTTGGTTCCGATGGGAATGAAATGTTCTGCTGTCCACAGTATCCCTTGCATTTGTTTATTTTTTCGTCCAAAAACAGAACGGGGAGTTTTTGGCTGGATTCGCATTAAAAAGTCGAAAAGTTTCGGAAGTCTGGCTAAACTGCAATCTTAGGCACTTTACAGCCAGTACGTTTTTCAAACATCCCGCTCAGAGGCGGAGGGGTAACCGAGCACTAAACAATCTGCCCAGGACATTCAGCTGAGAATGCTGGACGTGGTCCAGAAAAACTCCTCTGTATACTAATCACGGCAAAGCTACGATTCTGTAATCATAAGGGTTTTTCTTTTTATCTTCCATTTTTTTCACCTCCAGGTCGTAATGTGCGGTTGCTCCTACATGGTGCTATTCTTGGGGAACTTGTTCACCACACTGAGAGTGGTGTACCAGAAATACATGATCAACCAGGACAAGCCCAAGAAGGCGTAGCTCCGCATTAACCGACCGGACGAACTCACCCCCCCAAAAAAACGCCCCTTGTTCACACAACCGATAATGTGAAGTCTGCGGTTTTTTTTTCTCTGTATTTCTTTATTTTTAATTTTCCGACCAAGGCCATTTGCCCACAGCATCAGCGTCCTTTAGTTTTCAGGTATTTCCCTTGCTGTAGCCACTATAACAGGATTGCTGCTGTGTGAATGTCCTCTCTATGAGCGCGGGTCAGTGGGATTGTCCATCTCATTCAGGAATGTATAACTTTGCTAAGAACGTGTTTTGAGAAAAAGACCATTTTACTTGAATGATGTTTACTTCTGACGAAGTTTGTTACTCAGGACCATCAGTGTCTGTGAGCCGTACAGTGCTCCACCCAATAAAACACCCCTAAAAAAACACACCCCTGAATTTCCAGTTTGTCTCTGAGGCTGCTGTTAACTTTCTCAAATGGGGATTATATAATATAATATGATATAATATAATATTGGTTGGAATGATCATATGCTGCTGCCAGTGATAGCAGGTGAAAGCTTCAGTCTTTATTTTCCATGTAAAGATTCATCTGCACGTCAGACAGGAACTTCAGTCACATATTGTGATACTCCACCAGGTGGAGCTATTGAGCCTTTGATGCCAACATTGATCTCAGACTTCCTGTCACACTACAAGTGAAGTTCACTGATGCCAAGATGCATCCTTATCATTAATATTGGGTAAAGTCTTTTATTGGCTGAAGAGCTGTTGTGTGACATGGGAATGTTGAAGGGATGTTAACGAAATATGATAGATATTTGTGAATTGCATGGCCGAGCAACAACTGCGTCGGAAACTTTTCTTCATCAATTCAAACTGCGACAAACCCTCCAAGGGTCTTTGTGAAAAAATGGGGGAAAAAAGCCGAGCTCAGCATGGCTGCATTTCCATGGCTTCATGATTTAAACATTGCAGAACCACACAGAGGGACGCAAAGGATGGGAAGAAATGGGATCAGAGGGAATAATACCTGGAAAAAAAAAATGGTAAAATCGAAACCAGCTTCCCTCCCAGTTTATTACAGTAGAACTTCCCCCACTCCAGCTAAGAGTGTGTGATTAGTTTGCGCTGGAGGGCCAGTGTGAGCGAGGGTGGGCGAGGAAGAGGAGTCAAGTGAATCAGGTGGTACGAACTTGGAGGGGGGTTGGGGGGGTGTTCTCGCAGTGCGCAGCCCTTTCATCTTCCTCATTAAAGCTGGAGCAGTGGGGGCCTTGGAGAAGGAGCCCTGGGACATGGTGATCAGGGAAGGAGCTTGAGCCTCCCGTCAGGAGGTGGAGGAGTGGAGAGGAAGCAGCCAAAGCCAGCAGCAGAGCCCCCCGTGTCAAACCTTCACCTTAAACTTAACCTGCCTCCCTCCGGAACCCAGATAAAGACCTCTTATCGGCGCTCACCTTCTCTCTCGGCCTGGGAACGACTTTGGCAGCCGCGGGAAGGGCCGAGGAGAGGAGGATGAAGGGGGGGGGGGGCTTCCATGGTTCAGTAGTTCCGACGCACACAAGCTTTTCTGTCAGAGTTTGTATGAAAGGGCAGGGCTGTGTGAGGAGCCTCCATGTGGGACAGAATGGAGGCGAGGGGGGGGGGACCAGCTCTTCTATAGCAAGAGGGTTGCTGTTGTCCACTCCTTCTCCCCTGTGCATGATGTGGGGATTCAGCTGGAGGCCGGTTGCCGAGGGTGTCCAGAAAAAAGGCACTGCGAGGGTTTATCGATTGTTTGATCCTGTTAATATTTCAGCATTAAAGCTGTCAATGAGTTCCAGTCCTGACCATGGCCGAACTTTTATCCATCTCTTCCATTTGCACTGACTATAAACTCACCATCAGAACTCTGTTAATCATCATCTCAGGGGAACTTCTGTGGACAATGACCATGACCTGGATGACTGAAAATCTTCACAGATCTGTGTTTTTATATTTAGTCGGTCAACGTTTGCTCCGACTTAGATTTGCATGGATGCAGGAATATGAACATAAATGTGTAACCGGTCAGAGGAAATAGTGGGGAGCATGCACATTTAGGCTGGCCGTTCAACAACACTCAACTTCGATAGCTACCACTGTAGCTCGATGGTTCCCATCTCTCCCTCGTTAGTGAATCAAGTCCCACGACAGCACATCCTTCTCTTGAAATATGAAAGTGAGCAACAAATTAAACATGCATATTTGATAAGACGGGAACAGGATTCCATCCACTTGATAAATGAGCGTATAAGTGATGAGGAAGTGAGTTTGGAAGGAAAAAAGAGAATTCATTTCTATTTCAGTGAGAATTTTTGCAACTGCCCCCACTCTGTAGAGCTGATCACACACGTTTAGCCTCTCTGAGGGTTAAGATTTTCGGTTTCCATAGCAACCTTTAAAAAAGACTGTTAGGAGTAGACTTGCCATGTTCCTTTACCACCACTCAGTCCACCAAAAAAGCATTTTGTTCCTTTTCAGCAGGGTACTGTACGTGCTGCTGAGTTACTTCAACTGCTCCAAGCATTTTTTTTCCCTGTCCGGTCGGAGTCAGAACGCCCTGTGATGAACTGCGGAACAGTCCACAGTGTATCCTGACTCTCACAAAGTCAAAACTGGGATGGGCTCCAGCACTCATTCAACCCTGATCTGAAATAAGCAGGTACAGAAAATGAATCGATGGAAGTAATATATCAACTACAGACGATTCTATTCATACTTGAATTTATATTTTGAATATCTCTGTGTCTAAGGTATATGTAATCCAGTTCACAGTCTGGAACCAAACTGTTATTCAGTCTTACAGGAGTTCATCCACAGGAAAACACAATTTTCATGACAAAACGTCCAATCAATACACCGAATATTGACAAAAAAGCAAACTCTTACTGTTTTGAAACATTTTCTGAAAGGAATTTATGGCATCGTGCATATTTTCTGACTGTATTTACAGACATGACTGTATGTAGTACATACATGGAGAAGAGCTCAACTTAAAAAATGTTGTCAAGTAGAACAAAAGGCGCAACCGATCCCAAAAACCCAAAACTAAGCAATATAAACAAAATACTAAAGAGTAACAAAATCTAGACCAAATAACAGGAATGTGCAAAACAAGGACCAAAGGGCCAGGGAAGCAAACAGTATGCTGATGAATTCTAAAGTGGCAGCTGATGATAATCACACAGGTAAAGGGAAGGAAGCTGATGATGATCTAAAACAGAAAGCAGGAAAAAAGGAAACAAACTGAGGCCGTGGGAAAAAAGACATTGTCAATAAAGAAAAACACTTGAAACTCAAAAGAGAAAAGAAGAACAAAACCAACCAGAGAGAGATCATGAAATATTAAAACTGCTAAAAGAATAATTCCAACTGAAAAAAATCCAAGAACACAGTCTACAAAAAGCAGAAACACTGACACAGTCGGTGATTCTCCAGCTGGAGACCTCAGAAAAAGGGCTCTTAGGCTGAAGAATCGTAGAGGAACATGGGAACATAGTAGTATAAAGCTATTAAGCAAAGTTAATAACTGTCTTATACGAAGATAGACAATCCAAAATTGAAAATACCGCATTATATAACATCCTTGAGGTTAGAGTTCCCAAAACACAGAGCACTTAAAATGTTGCTCACTATAGGGCCACAAGCAATCCCAGTTCACGTAGAAAATAGATAAAAAGAAATCACACACAAATTCATGTGAGGTATGAAAATGGGAGTTTTAAGTGCTGAAAATGGCCCAGAGATGCTTCTCATACTTCTTTAAGTGCTTTCCACCTCACTAAAGTATGAGACCAGCTTGATTCTAGAGATATTTTTTAAGTCCAAAATGTCAGTTCTCCAGAATGGGTGTTTAGATTTGGCAGGTTGAAATCAAATCATCTCACATAGTTTGTGAGCTTGAACGGGCTTAAGGAACAATAGGTTTTCATGTAAACCAGAGGACCACCCACAAAAATGAAACTGCAGGATTAAACCTGCTGGCAAACTGCTGACAAACAGCAGAATTTTGTCTTCTCTTGTGATTGTGAGGGACCAGACTTAAACAAGGACAAAGGGGTTTTCTAAAAATGAGATAAACTTCCATTTAATGATATAAAAGTAGTGAAAAAAAGGTCAAACGTCAATACAAAATAACTCAATAAGTAACCCAACTGAACAGCACCAAAAACTTAAGAAGCTTAAAAAGGGGTGGACTGGCCTAAACTTCCCAAACGAGGGAGGAACAACATAACAGAGGTACAACAAAGCAATAACACAAAACCTAACAAATAAAGCAAAATCATCTTTAACCTCATACAAATAAGTGAATATTAAAAATGACTAAATAACTTGGGTGAACTTCAAAAAACAAAGTTCCCTCCCCTTCAGTCTTTAGAACAATGGTGTGTCCCAGGGTTTGTAGTTTGAACATTTGGTGGTGATGGAAGTAAAAGCATCCACCACAGTTATCACCTGGGAAAACTTCGTAGCCCCAAACTTAACTGATACAGAATCGTAGGGATTTTGGAGACAATAAAACTCTAAATTTAAAAAAGGCATTTAAGTGCACACAGAGACAAACAACCACACACACTCAAATTCACTCCAAGGGGCAGTTTAGAGTCTTCGGTTAATCTAACATGCATGTTTTTGGACAGTGGGAGGAAGCAAAAAAGCCATTTGAAGACCCAAATCAATATTCCAAATCGACCTGATATAGTTTAATGTGTTGCTATTAACTGGGTTGAATAAAATTAGACCCAATCGAAAGCAAGCCAGCACATCTGACTGGACAGCCACATTTAAAAAAAAACTACTGTCATGAGAGCAGCCCCACCTCCAACCTCTCTGACCTCCAGATGCAGGCGGTATTAAATGGAATATAACATTTATTTTAGGATAATTTCCTGGGGAAGAATAGACGAAAGAAAAACAGCTAAAATTGATATCTGTTACAATTTTCCTTATACAAAACAATCAAGTTTTCATACCTAGTTCTTATTGTTATTGGAATGGAGGGAGACTGATATAATTCAGTTGGACGTAGTTCTTACTATCCAAACTATCTATATCATGGTATGACTTCAGATATTTTAGCTTCCAATCAGAAAACCAAAGCAAATAAAGAATGTGCTGTAAATGCAGGATCTGTTAAGAGGAATCTCACAGAAATACAGTGTGAAAAGGAAAAAAAAATCGTCAGAGTAATTCTCAGTAAATCTGAGTGACTATTCGGCTGGTCTTTTTTGATGTGGCCGCTGAAAGGCCTGATGTTTTTTGGGGCCAATGATCTGTCCAACGCTAATCCCGGTTCAAACTTCTTCAATGCATACACACACACGC